CACAATTGTGCCATAATCCACTGCAATTATATTTAAGTTGTATTGAATGCACTCACCCCGGCTCGTCTCCAGGCTTTTTCCCCCGAATTGTTCTGATTCAAAACATCAGGATTTGAAAAGCCATAAATATGCACTTTTCCCCTGGAAAAATCATATTTAAGGTACTCAACTGGACCTTAAAACCACTGTTGTACCTTTGAGGGTACTACATTGTTTCTACCTAGATACACAAAAAAAATGTACCTGCACAGAATCTTTTTTCCTGACAGTGCAAATTGGTAAAACTCATCTAGTTTAATTTACAATTACTTTATTTTTTACTTTTTTATTATGTCCCTAAAACTAAACTGAACAAACAAGCAATACTGATGTTTGCTTTAACAGGCAAAAATGCCTTCCACAACAATCCATCTTTGGGTTCTAATACAATTATTACGCTGATGATTCATATACAGTTCTACACTTCATCACTACGCAGGCTGAGATCACGCTTTCCCAGTCTGGATCGCAGTAAATAGCTGAATGCTTCTACAAAAAAAAAAATGAAAAAATAAAAATAAAAATTGTGGAGAGGAGGGACAGAAAACAGTGCTGCCACAGCAACAGCAGAGACATTCTTACGTTTTTAGTTACAGAGCTTCCAAAAATTCATAAACAAACACGTTTTTAAAACCAGGGCAGAAAGCTTCCACCATGACATTGCACATTTACAAACAGTACACGGATAACGGATTAAAAAAGGCTGACGAAAATGTGACGACGCAGGTACTTAATGTAAACACAAGCAAGTCAAACAAAGACAGATGTTGACATTTCCTCGTCGCCACACAGCTGAGCTGTCGGAGAGCTCAAGACATCATGGGTTCTACTCGAGCTGATAGCTGCTGCCCAAAAGCAAGGCACTCAACCCTACGATGCTCCAGAGGAACCGTCCCTGCAGAGGGCTAATGGACGCCGCTTTGGAAGAAAACGTCAGCTAACTGACAAATTGTAAATGAAGTCTGGACAAATATTTTCCTTTTAATAACCATTTACAATCACACGCATACGCAGCAGTCAGGCCAGCCCAACACTAAAGCCTAAAAAGGACCAAAGGAGAAGTAAAACACGAAAAAGCGAGTTTATCAGATGTCACTTGCACTAAACGTAAAAGAAACGCATGTTAATGCTTTTTTAGGCAGCTCTGTAAATAAAAACGAAAGCATGTCTGTGCTGTTTGTGGAAGCACCAGTTTTTTGCCTCTAGTCACATAAACTGACAGCCAAAGCTCTGTTTGCAGAAGCACTGAGCTATTTACTACAGTTAAAATGAGGAAGGGTGGCTTCAGTATGTGTGGTCACAGAGCTGAACTGCATCAGAAATATCAAGGTAATCTGATTTAATCTGGATGTGACATTATGTATTACTGTCTGACTGAATTTTAACGGTCCTAAAATCTACAGAAAAGCATGCTTGGCATAAAATTGTTTAGGTTGGGTAAATAGATCAGGTAGATAAGTTGTGCAGAAAGCTGCAACTGACCAAATTCAGCCCTGCATGAAAAGATTTTTCAAATCCGATTTCGGATTCAAAGAAGTCCTGATTTTCCACCATTTCTGCATAATTAAATGGTTGAGATGTAAACATAGTCATTCAGAGTGGTTTGGTGTGAAAAGCTCGCTTCTAGACAAACTTACGAACTCATTGTTTACAGTGGTAGTGATAGGAACCAGACGTCTAAAGAATTTTAGAGCCTCTAACAGCTACATTACAAAGTTATTACATGAACGGTTATGAATACCCTGCCTGAGGCCTTAGACCTTGATATGTAGAGTTTTGAGGTAAGACTTTGGCCTAAAATATATATTTTTTATATATATTTATGACAAAGAGGTATATGCATGGTGTGGCAATGAAAAAAAAGAAAAAAAATCTTCTCCAAAGAAACATTACATCGATATTATACATAAAAATTGAGAGGACTCGTGTAGGTTCACTGGTGGTTTTAGATAGCAAATATAATGTCCATGGTTCCTATCACCACCACTGTAAAGACATCTGAGTCTGAAAGTCTCTCTACAGTGAACCATTTCACACCAAACACCTCTGATGGACATCTCAACAACTGAATTATTCAAAAATTTTGGTTCTTGTAAGACATATCGTTCATTCCACGTCAGCCAGCCAGCTCACCCGCATAAAAAACAGGCCTGCTAAGTCAGATAGCCAGCACCTACCTCGGCAAATCAACACCTTAGCATGGAACTGTGAAATATGGGACACAAAAGTGAATACAAATGCTAATTTGACGCAAACTAAAAATCAACTGTGCTTTTTTAACCATTCAAAACACACAAACCAAACAAATAAACAAACACAGGGCAGGATACCGGCTGACAGAAACTGGGCAAACCAGCATTAAATGTCAGGGAAACACACACACACACACGCACACACACACACAGACACACACACGCACACACGCACATATATATATAAAATATTCCACATTATTCCTTGTTCACGATATAGAGGTGACCAACCATGCCGGTGAATGAGAGGAAAACTGCAGGCTCTCTCTCAACCTGCTCACACAGACACTCAAGACCCCTGCTGAACTGACAAAGACACTGTAATTACAGCGGTGACGGGAGAGAGGCCAACACATTACATCTCTGTCAGTCTCAATCCCACTGCCTCAAGTGTGGCTACGTGCCTGTCCTACCGAGCGGTTAACATCACCCTCTCCTACACTGCTCACCGGCTAAATACCACAGCAAAAACAGTGAGAGGCTGAAGAGAAGAAGGATCTTGTTCTTTTCAAAAGAAATTCAGAGCCCGGCAGTGAAAAAGCAATAAAGTCTGATTTACATATCTTAATCTCAAATGCTTAAATGAAGCAATGAAGCCAATGAAGCTATCAAGTAACAGAAACATCCTCCACCAATTAGCACTGCACAAAATGTATGCATTAATTAATGGCATTTGGCAGATGCTGTTATCTAGAGCAACTTACATCTAATGATGTTACAGAGGTAGGCAAGTCAGTGTTAGGAGTCTTGTCCAAGGACTCACTCATATGGTGTAGTGTGTTTGTCCAGGAAGGGAAACTAACTGCTGCATGGAGTGCAGTGGCGTCACCCTCTACCAACCACACTTGCATCAGCCATTTTCCTGTGTCTCTAAAAGACTTGCTTATGTGGTTTCTGACATTGTATGACACTGTTACACAGAATTGCTGGTCGACACCCCTGGTCAAATTACACAATTTGTTGATTTTTTTAAAGTGAAATGAAGTTATCATCATCTATAAGAACTTAAATATGGCATTTTTCTACAAAATACAGAGCACAACTCAATTTTGTCTTGCAAAGGTTATGGCTCAGCAAAGGCCACACTTTTTTGTTAAATTCAGCAAATAAACATTAAAATGTGCATCTGTAGAGGATGTGTTAACCTATTTTCACTAAGACAATCAACAAAACATCATTTGACCAGGGGCATCCAAACCATCTTATGGCTGCTGTCTGAGGAAAACCTTGTATCTCCAAAACGGTAACTTTACAGTAGAAGGAAAAAACCTACTTCACTTTTAATGTAAGTCAATGGAACTAGACTTTTTTCCAAGTAATTTTGGGCCGTTTCTTTTTGTCCATTCTTCATGAAATTTACACATAATATCAAGGCCAACACGCATTTTCAAATTATGTCAAAAACTGAAAAATGACAAAAATTGAGATCCGAAGTTTTCTTCCGACAGCAGCGATATATAGTTGTAATAGTGCAGGGCCAGATATAATCTTTTGACGAGAACGTCTCAGGAGAACCATCAGACATTCTGGACTAAATGTGGGTGGGAATGTAGACTTACTACAGTGGGAACAAACCAAAAGTGAAATTGCTACACCAATCCAACACTTTGTAAAGGCAGAGCTCAAAGTAGCAGGCAATTATGAAAATTAGCCTGTTGTTTAGCGTATACATATAACTTCTATCATTCTAGCTTAAGTGGGCTAACTTAATTTACTTATTTAATGTTTGATGCTCTAATAAACTGACAATGTTTAGGCTAAAATGGTGGCACTTTCAGTTTTCAGCCTAAAGAGCAACAGGCCAGGTGTGTTCAGCCTGGTCTATAGCTTAACTGATTCTATTACATTCTTTAATAGAACATAAATAATGCTGAGTTACCTCAATATCTTCTGGTAATAAACTTTTTAAGCTCAAATTCTGAAAGTCACTGCAAACACGTGTGGTTTTTTAGATCCTGCTGAGGTTTATGGCTGTTTTTTCCATTTAAATGACAACCACTAAAGTGACTGGTGTGCTAATAGCAACAATTTAAAAAATTAGGCATTTCCTGACGGTGTAGCGGAGGCACCTCTGGGAACCGTAAAGCATTAAATGTGCATAATTTCCCTAATTTAAATATTTAATAATATTTAACAAGCTGTTTAAAATTAAATTAGCCCTCTAGTTCTCTTTTCCACCATGTTGACCTTCGTCTTTGAAGCATCGCCACATCATCACGTAATTGAAAAGCATAAATAAAACAGCAAATTACACATAAAAGAGCCTTTTCTTTTAGTTTTAGTTTTAGGTGCATCACTAATAACGTACTTTAAGGCACATTTTCAGACACTCCTTAATTTTCCAATATCAGAAAACGTACTGAATCGAGAAACCACTGCGTCGTGTCGTATCAAATCAGTTTCTGAATCGTTGTGAACTGTTTAACCTCTACTACCTTCAAGCCTGAGCTTTATTTTCAGGTGAGACCTACTACAACAGCTATTCAGCTCAGGTTTTGTCTTCTAACATACAGGCACTGTCTTCTAACCATTCCTCTGTACTACAACACAAACTGTCTGCACTACTTTTATTCAAAGACTTATCACAAGTACTTTTTCTCAAGGTTGTTAATTTCACATCAGCTACAAGGACTCTGCCATAAAAAGGGGCAAAAAATCTTTAACGGTGCATCCAGCAACACAAGCGAGTCTCAGGAGAGAGGAACTTACCCTCGGCTGCTTCAGGGTCATCAAGCGTGGTCTCCTGAGCAGCTTGGGCCTGACCACCCGTCTCCACCTGCTTACACACGCTGCAGGTGTAGCCGTCCTGCACCTGTGCACTGGGGTCGGAGTCGTCCCGCCTCTCGCACTCCACGTGAACCCATCTGGGGGAAGAGAGACAGGACAAAACACCAAATCAACTCTGACAACCATCAATTTCCCAATCCCTTTGGTAAACAGTGGGAAAAAGACGGCCGCTGCAGGCAAGGGGAGAGGCAGCTATTAACTGAAGCATTGTGCCAGGCTTTCCCCCCCATCTCGTGTCGCCTAGAGTGAGAGCTGCTGGGAAGAAGTTTATTAAAGCGTATGGATCTGAAGGATGGCTCACAGCTGGGCTCGGCCCTCTCCAGACGAGCGCTCCTCCGCGTCTTGCTGCGGGGAAGCCTCAGGGAGCCTCCAGCCTGACCTCTCCACATTCAACCAACTCCCTCTCTGTTTCTTCTCTTCAAGCTCTCTTGTCTCTGTCTCCCTTCCTCTTTCTCTCTGTACTGCTAGAAGCCTCTCCCTTCTCTATAGGCTTTTTTCTACACTTCCTTGCATCAAGGTCTGGATTAGGCAGCCAGAGAAGAGTCTAAAACAGCACCGCCCACTGGTTCAGTCAGGACTGTGAAGACCCAAAAGGTAGTTCACTTCAACTCAATATTCTGTCAAAAGTAGAGACGGGAGGGAATAAAACTATTCTACCCTGACAGGTGACCAAAACTATCATGGCTTATGCAGAGGTCAGCAACCCCAATGGATAAGAAGGGCCATTTGGTCCTTTCAACAAAAATCAAAACACTTTGGGAGGTGCAACATTTTATGTCCATTTCACCATCTTGACTGTAAATAAGTCTCAGTATGTGCTGATGTGCTAGTACAGGCTAAAAATATACTTACTTTGCTTTAAGCTTTAGCTCAGCTATAGTTGCTTTTCTCGCATCTCCGGCAGGAAACTTTTCCGCAAAAGTAGAAGTTTCTTGTAAAACGTCTCTCAACATTTGAGTTTTTACGAGGCTGAAGTCGATTCTCCTTCACCAGCCTCTTGTTCGAATTTTCCCGTTCCACCTTAAATGGTGCAGCAGGCACCATTTAAGGTGGAACGGGACAATTCGAACGAGAAGCTGGCAAATGAGAAGCGGAAATCAGTCTCGTGACTTTTTAGCGTTCGTCAGTTTCTTGTTGCAGATTAAACGTTTCAGGAAACCAGCTGGAGTGAATATAAACGCAAATAAATCCAATCGTCTCCAAATTATTGATGTTCGTCTTAAATCTTTCTCTTTGCTGTTTCGTTAGCTACTAGCTAGGCGAGATTGTTGTCTGCGTTGCTATGGTGACCAGCAGTCTGCGCTGATCTTCAGGGTTAAAGGGTGAATTAGCAGTTCTACATTAACTCCAGCGTTTAAGACCATTTATTGTTAAATTGTGTTGAACGATCAGCAGAGCTTTATTTTACTGTAAAGGAGGATTATTTTATTTTTACCTACAAATCTAATCCTGCTGTGGAGCCGCAACAGGACAGTAAAAGAGCTGCATGCAGCTCCAGAACCGCATGTTGCCGACCACTGGCTAATGGCAATATCACAGTTTTGTTAAATTACAAAAAATGCTTAAAAGCACTAATATTTCACCACAGATATTATATTCAATATTTTAACCTCTTGTAAAGAAATCAACTATACCAAAGAAATAAAAATACAATTATCTCCTATACTACTATTGGTAACTGTGTAGATGTTGGTGGGGAGACTTGTTTTTCTCTCTAATTTAGTCATGAGCAATAATGGACCATCGCTGGACAGCTCAACATGCTTGGAGAAGAATGCTAAGTGCAAAATCTGTTAGATTAGCCAGCAAATGCCTGTGCTGGCAAGTACTGGGGGAGAGGGAGGACCATCCTACCCCACTAAAAAGAGAAGACAATTATGGTCTGCTGGCCATGCACAGCTGTGGCACTGCAGAGGACTGAAATCGCAATCTACCAACAACAGGGCCAAGGCTCAGATGGTTTCACCACTCAGGAGCTCCCCACCACGCCTTTTTTAAAAATACATTACTAAGACATTTACGCAGTCGAAAGCAGTCAAGAACAGACAGATGACAGAGTTAATCGAAGTAGACTGAGTAAACCAGGATGTCTACAAACATCTAAATTAAATACTTTAAGACTTTAAATGCTACTTCAAATGTCTTTTAGGACCAAGTCTGCAGTTTCGGCAGTCTATATATAAAAACATTCATCAAAGCAACGAGGTGTGCTTAACAGCAGGTAACGCTAGTGTTAGTGAGCCTGTATTACTCAACGTGTACGCGGGATGTAATAACTGTCTTCATAACAGAATAAAAAATAGAAACACCTATGACACCTTATTCCTAAAATTTAAGACCACAGAAATCTGAATAAAATGAATTTATGGCCTTAAAATTGTTGTGAAATGTAATTTTAGACAAATTAAGATTGTTTTTTTTTTAAAGGTTTTTAAACCTCACACACGATCCAAATACACGCCAAACAATTCAGCCATATTAGTCATCACCACTTACCTCTAGAGCGCAACTGATATACTGATTGGCGGATAACATCAGTTAATACTGACAATCCATTGTTTTATCCGTATCGGCAGAGATCTTGCTAATGATGCATCAAGAATTTCCGTCTATTTTTGGGTCAGAATCTTCCGACAATAATGTACAACTTTAGATCAATGGTCTCCAACCCTGGTCCAGAAGAGCCACCTTCCTGCAGAGTTTAGTTCCAACCTGTATCCAATAAGCTGCCTCGCCCTTTACTTAACTCAATACATCAGATCCAGCCAATCAGGGACTTGGGAAGAGGCTGATCAGCTGGAGCAGGTGTGGCAAACTGTGGTTGTAACAGGAAGGTAGCTCTCCAGGGCCAGTGCTGGAGACCACTGCTTTAGATGGTTGAGTTGTTTGCAAACCCAAAGTAAATGAAGGTGATTTAAACATATTGCAGCAAAACAAGACAAATCTGTACTCAAAACACTATTACAGCTGACATTAACACTCTTTAGACGTCTGGTTCCTATCACCACCACTGTGTTCTGACCAAGTTTCTCTAGAACAGAGAATTTCACACCAAAACACTCTGAATGACTGTTTATTTCTTAACCATTTAACACAGAAAGTCTGAAATTTCCCTTTAAAATCAGTTTTAAATGTTCAGTTCGGTGCAGCCCTGCTTGTCTCAAGCAGTACCCACAGCAATGAGGTCTAACAGAGGGCAGCCTCCACCGCCAGCCCACTGAAACACCACCCACATTGTCTATTATTTCATTATAATTTAGTGTAACCAAAATACCCCAGGAGCTAACAAAACTCACTGACCTTTGACCCGATAGTGTCAGTCACAAAGAACGGAGAGCTGATTATGCTTAACTCGCTCAGCCATGAGGCAGGGCAAAAGGTCGCCATGGCAATCTCCCTTCCACCCAACCCCCCCTCAGTCAGCCCGCCGTCTACAGCGCTGGAGTCTGATTACATCTGACCTCCACTGATCAGTCAAACGCGGATTATCAAATCCACTTGTCGCACAAATTACACGGACACCTCTCGTCCACAGACGTCATTGTAATCGCACCCCTTCTTCTGAAACTCAAGCAGCGCTCCAACGAAGCCTCTCTCATATTCAAGGGGAGACGCTGAACCACAGCAGGCATTGTCTTATAATGGTCTGGCTGTTATTCGTAAGTCAGTCAGAGGATTAAGAACAACTATGAATTCCTGTTATGTGTGTCTAATAATTTCTACAAAAGCCACAATTACACAATTAAAGAGGGATTGAAGAGGGATTCCACCTACTATATCAAAACTTCAGCAGAATTCAAACCGCCAATATGGAAACAAAGAGTGGTTTGATGTGAAATGATCTGTTGTAGAGAAATTTACTGAGTTAGAGGTAGAGGTAGAGTTAGAGGTAACAGGAAGCAGATGGTTAAGTTTAATACCTATAAAAGCTCCCTCACAGAAAGCTAGAGCACAAAATAATTCCTAATATGTTTCATGACATCTAAAATGTCATTTTACAATTGTTTTCTGACCTGAGTTTGGCCAAATACCTCATACATTCAAGGCTGTAGGGAGCCATCTTCCACTGACAGTCAGAAACTCTATGACCCCCCCTTTCAATTGGATTGTGATTGGTTCCTAGGCGCCTCACGGTTGTAAAAATATGGCGCTTTGAAATCAGATGAATCTTTTTGAATCATCAACATTACATATAAAACTCAGAAGACTCGTGTTGGTTCACTGGTGGTTTTGGACAGCAAATAAAACGGCTATATTTGTGTTGTAGACATTGTGATCCCCGGTTCCTATCACCACCACTGTAAAGACATCTGAGCTGGTAAGTTTCTCTATAATGAACCATTTCCCAACAGATCATGATGTTTGTGATCAACTGATTTAAAAAAAACAAAACAAAACAAAAAAAAAACAACTTCAACTCAAGTGACTCACATGTGGACCCACACTTCAATTTTATCACTCTCAAAACTACATAATTTGCAGACTACCTTCACAGTAGTTACTGAAAAACTCATAGTAGCTGTTGAATAATTCAGAGCAGCAACTGAATAATTCATAGTACTTACTGAATAATTTATTATAGTTGTTGAATAATGTATAGTAGTTACAGCCTTGGGTCTTAATAAATGGCTGTTAAGACATCTGCACTGAAAGAGTTTCTCATCTTTATCCAAAACAACATTTCTTAAAACTCCAATTCCCATAATCCTTACCTCTTGCAAGTTTTACAGGTGAGCGTGTCCTTGGGGGCATCGCCGTCTTGGCCCCTCCCACAGACATGGCAGAACAGGCTGGGGTCTTGTTGCTGTTGGCAACTCTCACACAGCAGGCTGTTGGAGGCCCACTGACCAGTAGCTCGAGCACCGCACTGAGCACACGTACGACAGTTCTGCAGGGAAAAAAAAACACAGACATCATTTACAGCGGAAAAATAAATAAATAAAATAAAAAGCAAAAATAAATGTACATTTATTGTGTACAAAAGGTACAACATGGTTTTTCCAGACCAAATTCAAGCTTCAAAATAAGTGTTACTACAGATCTTAGCTATGCAATGAAGTTTTGTTGATGACCATCGTAGTCATGCAGTTTGTGTCGTGCTAATCTGAGGGGTATAATCTCATGTTAGCTGTTAGCTACATTAGCCTCATAGTTCCAACACAAAAACAATCTCTGATCATGGGGTTGGTGGGAGGGGAGGGGAACCGGGTAAATCTGCTTATTTTTAAATTTCTTTAAACCAGCTCAGGTTTTTAAAGGGCTCATATTACAGAAGACTGAACCTCTTATTTTTTTATTTTTCAAATAAGAGCCTGGAGTAGTACTTGGTTGAAGTTTCCAAACCCTAGCATTCACACTTCAGTCCATACCGTCCATATATGCCAAGAAAAACTCATTTACATATGTGGACTGTACATCTGCAGAAGTTTGAACACCTTATGTAAATTACATTTTGCTTATTTCCTTAGTGAAAATAAGTTAACAGATTTTCTACATGGGACTTAAATATAGAATTTTTTTCTGCAAATTGTCTCTATTTCTATTGTTTTTCCCTGAGTTTAACGCGCAGGAAAAAAACAGAACATGAAATATAGAACATGCCATAACTTTTAAACAGGCCACAATTTATGCTTTATTTTTTCCAGTATGTTAAATTTAGCAAATAAACAGGAATTGTGTATTAAAATGTGCAGACGTGTGTTCACTGCAGTGAATGCGGTAACATGCTTTCACTTAGAAAATCAACAAACCATATAATTCCATCAGGGGTGCCCAGACTTTACATATGACTGTCCTCATTCATCCCTTAGCAGTTTAGCTCCGCCCACATAACTGAAGTTATAAGGAGTGTTTCAGTCCAGACTGATTTTGGTATGAGGCACAACGCACACAATCAGAACTTACATCATTACATTAAGTCTTAAAGATACAGTAACAGAACGGCCTGTTTAAACCTAAGGAAAAAAAAATTGAAAATGGCCACCTAAAATTGAATTAGGACTAATTTGGTACATAAAACCACACAAACGTTATAAGTTGATAAAGAAATGTGATAACTAACGTACAGCTGATACCGTGGACAGCATGAAGACTGATTTTAGCATCTGTAGGAGCAAAATTACAGCGCATAAACAGGTTACTTTATTCAGAAAGCACTAAAATTTCATCAACACTATTCTAAATACAATCTGCCACCCTAAACATTATCAACAGACACATTTAAATCTCCGCTATCTTGAAAATCAGGTATGTTCACTAGCCCAAGAATTAAATCTAGTAAATCCAATCACTCCTTACTCTGACACAGCTCTAAAGTCACAAACTCCACAGAAAACACTAAAATCAATCCAGATTTAATTATGCTGTGATTATGTCTCCACAAATCCTCAAAATTACGGCCATCATGATCATCATGTACTTAACAGCAGCTCAGCATTTGATCACAGGGCTGTAAATTTCATTACAGTTTGAAAAAAAGCCACTTCAGGCTCAGCACGGGCGGTTCTGAATGACTGTCTGAGACATGCTCCTCTTTACTGCCCCACACATCAACCACCCCCACCCCCCACCCCAAAGAGCTCCACACTGCTGAATCCTATCACTGGCCTACAGACACAGAGAGAGAGAGAGAGAGAGAGAGGGAGAGAGAAAAAGAAAAAGAGAGAGAGAGAGAGAGAGAGAGAGAGAGAGAGAGAGAGAAAGAGAGGGAGAGAGGGAGGGAGAGAGGGAGAGAGGGAGGGAGGGAGGGAGGGAGAGAGGGAGGGAGGGAGAGAGAGAGAGAGAGAGGGAGGGAGGGAGAGAGAGAGAGAGGGAGGGAGGGAGAGAGAGAGAGAGGGAGGGAGAGAGAGAGAGAGGGAGGGAGGGAGAGAGAGAGAGAGGGAGGGAGAGAGGGAGGGAGAGAGGGAGGGAGAGGGAGGGAGAGAGGGAGGGAGAGGGAGAGGGAGGGAGGGAGGGAGGGAGGGGGAGAGAGAGAGAGAGAGAGAGAGAGAGAGAGAGAAAGAAAAAGAAGAAGAGAGAGAGAAAGAAAGAGAGAGAGAGAGAAAAAGAAAAAGAGAGAGAGAGACAGAAAGAAAGAGAGAGAGAGAGAGCAAGAGAGAAAGCAAGCGAGAGAAAGAGAGAGAGCGAAAGAGCAAGCAAGAGAGAGAGAGAGCAAGCAAGCAAGCGAGAGAAAGCAAGCAAGAGAAAGAGCAAGCAAGCGAGAGAGACAGAGAGAGAGAGAAAGCGAGCAAGCGGGAGAAAGAGAGTGTATGGGGTGGGGCAGAGAGGGAGACAGAGAGAGAGACACAAGCAGAATGAGAAACAGAAATACAGAACACGAGAGAGAGAGAGAGAGAGGAAAAAGGTGAAAGGAGAGAAAGATGAGAGATATGAGAGAGAGCGTCAGAGAGACACGGCGCAAGATAGAGACAGAAAGATAGAAAAAGAGCAAGAGCACACGACTATGATGATGTTATAGATACAAGACAGACTCACAGAGAGCTGGAGAGAAAGTGAGAGACAGCCGAACAGAGAGAGGAGGAGGAAGGGAGAGAGAGAAGGAGGAGGGAAGCCGGACAGGCAGCAGGAGAGAGGAGAGAGCATCCAGAGAAGCCACTGCCTGGTCTTCAGGATCCTATTTCCCCTCCTCTCCTAATCCTCTCAGGCGGAGCTGAGGGGTCTGTGCGTGCTGCTAAAAACCCAGATAACTCAATTAGCTCTGGCAGCGCTGGGTGTTTTCACGTCTTCTCCGACCACAGCGCTGCGTGCACCAACAGGGAGGGGATTCATTACAGGAAAAGCAGCCTGACAGCTGCTAATCAGAGTCTGCAATCAGACCAGGCTGGCACGGCCCAGAACCACCATCCAGCCTGACATACTTTTCCTATGGGTGGGTGATACGGATCAGTTTACAAGACATTTTCGCAACACACATTACAGTCATATGCAAAAAATAAGTTAAGACGTCCTCTACAGGGATATAATGTATATAATCTCCGCGGAAAAGCGCCGACAACAGAACAGGTTGCTCTGTAGCAGTTGAGCCCAAGGTCAACATGCCCAATGCCAAACGTGGGCTAGAGGGGTATAAAGTCCCCCAGCATTGGACTGCGGCGCAGTGGAACTGGAGTGATGGAGCTCCATCCAATCAATACCTGTGGGATGAGTTGGAGTGTCCAGAACTGATCATCCAGCATCAGTACCTGACCTCACTAATGTCCTTGTGACAGAATGCAATCAAATCCTCACAGCAATGTCCCAACTTCTAGTATAAACCTTTCCCAGAATAGTAGAGGCCATTACTGCAGTGAAGGGGGACAAACTCCTTTTTAATACTCTTGGTTTTGGAAGAAACATTGGATAAGCAGGCGTCCACAAACTTTTGGCCATATAGTGTATGTTGAAACAAAGCACCAGCTGCACAAAGCAACGCCATTACTGAGGCCAGACTAATATTAGTTGGGCAGTAATATCGACCAACAGTGATGACCTGCGTTCGATACTGTCAAAATATCACAGATATCAACTCTTTTGTCGCAGACTCACCAGAATTCAAACCCAAGGTCTCCTGATGATGCAGTGAAATCTTAGATAGTTGAGCGACTAGGGAACCCAATATGAGTCACATACTGTTTACCGTTTAACAATGTCCCAACAGCAGAGGCCCAGGAGGTGAATCTGAACTACAATGTGGCTCAAAGGCAAAATATGTCAATCTTTAGCATAAAATAATATAAGTAGGGCGGTCAAGCAATTAAAATAAGTGAGTCAAGATTAACTGCATCAGTCTGTGCATATGAATAATCATAATTGCATTTGTCTTAATTGCTCAAATCTAACCCTAAAGAAAGATTTTTTTCCCCCATTTTTTCCCCCATTTAAAAATAACAAAACAAGCTTCACTAGAAAGTATTCATAATCTTCAATAATTGAACTTGAATCTGAACACAACACTGTGTGGATGCAGGGGGAACACAGTGTAGTATGAATGTAGTTTCCAATTTTCATCATCAATGTCCAGTGAGCCCCACAAGGCTGTATGTTCCAGCTCCTCTGTGGTTGTAGCCCCTCACTCTCATACTATTAGTTAAGTCTTGTTAGGAAGGCAGCTGGATGTTCACCTTTTGCTCTTGCTTTTGTTACATCGTGGGTTGTTGGTTTATTCATAGTTCTCCAGTGAGCACTGACCAGTGTGGTCTGCTGAAGGCGTCCTCCAGTGCTGATGTTACTGATATCGCTGATATTGCCAGCTTCAGTGCTTGGTCTGGTTTGTAAATGATACTTCAGACTTCATGTACTTCAGTGGCAGACAGATTCACCTTGGCAGGTGGAAATAACTTATCAATCCTGCCAGAAATTAAAGCTGCCTGTGGTGCTTGTTATTATACTTAGTGTAAATACCCTATTACAATATTAATAATGCTATCAACTAGAAAGGGCAAGTTCTTAAACAAACTAAGTTGGCTTGAAAAAAACAGCTAATAACACTTCAAAAGTCAAAGCAGGTGCACCTGTTTTTGATAATTAGGTTTATATTGTAATTCCATGTAGTTGCTGTGGTGATATGTTTTTATGGTACTCCAGTTTGTTATCAGGGTGTTGTGTTTATGTTGTTAGGCAGTTGCTAAGGCATTGCAAAGTTGTTGGTAAGGTACATCAGGTGGTTGCTAATATGTGTGTGTGTGTCTCTAAACACTTCAGTAAGTTTTTAAACACCTCAGTGTCGCTGCTGGACTGAGAATAGTTCACCAACCAAAATATCCAGCCAACAGCGTCCTGTGGGCAGCGTCCTGTGACCACTGATGAAGGACTAGAGGATGACCAACACAAACTGTGCAGCAGCAGATGAGCTATCGTCTCTGACTTTACATCTACAAGGTGGACTGACAAGGTAGGAGTGTCTAATAGAGT